ATAGCAAGCAGTACAGAGGCAAGATGCAAATTCGTATCGAAGCCCATCTGATTCTGAATATAAGCATTTCCATTTCTGAGTTTGCCATGAAAATGTTTCCTCCATTCACATCCTGTCGCTTTTGTTGTTCTCTTCTGGTCAGTGCAGGATGGAGGGTCTGGGACCAAAATTGAGCCGTTGTGCCCGAAAAAGTGAGTTTGATGAAGGTGGATTGGTCCTGGTTGAGATTCAAAACGGAGCCCACGAGACACAGCCAGAGAAGGCAGTCCAATCCCGCACTTCTTGGAAGCTGGACATTGGCTCTTCAGTCAGACTCACGTTTGACTTGTACTGATTTCTTAACTGACATATTGACTATAGAGCCCCAATCTCCTTGGGCTCCTAATGGTTGGGGTGAATTTTGTGCTTTTCCTCCATCAGCTTGGGTGGTCACAACGTCTCTTGTTTGTTTCCACACTTGGTCCAGGCCCAAGATCACAGCTTCCAGAATGTGTTTCTCAGGTGTGTAAACAACTGCCACAGAGCACTCGGCACCTAGATTTGGAGGTTACACGTTGAAGATTTGACAATGGATTGTTCAGAGGGAACGAACTCCAGTTCATATTTGGGCATTTCCAGTAATAGTATAAGGAAAAAAGATCACAGTTATTTTTTTTTCTCTATTTGTATATACCATTGCACTGAGTACGGTTTAATAAGCTTCTATTTCAATAAAAATCTACCCAGTACTTGTCTAATGGGAATTTAGTGTTAATGTCTAACCATGCAGCCTGGCACACACTTTCAGGGTGAAGGCTACTCACCTAGACCAGAGGCAGACACTTAACGATGCATCCCTGTAATACTCCTGTCTTAGTGTATCACTGATACTGTTTCCATAATGATTACTTTGGTGGCAGTAGAGAAAGAAGGGAACTGTCCAGGCGTCATCAAGCCCACAAACTGCAGGGGGAGGAAGTGGCTCGTCCATGCCTACCAGGAAGTCACAGATAGCTGTCTAAGGTACTGAAACCGAAGACTGCAGAACCAACAGGGACAGCAAAACGACCACCAGCAGATCTTAAATCTAAGCAACTTCCAGAGAAGCTGAATGACTGGATAGAACTAGGGATGTGGCTGGGTTTTCTTTTCTCTTAAGGATTTAAAGTTAGTAACTTCTAGGATTAGAAAAAACAAAACAAAACCAGCAACCTAGTGATAGTGCAATGACTTCATAGAGTTTTGGCTGTGGCACTGTGAAGGTAGCAACACCATCTGTTCTGGAACGGAACATTGATTTTAATTTGGGGTGCACCATTATTGAGGTACCAACTGAGGGAAGAGAGAGGTCCTGGAACTGTGCTAACCCCATGTTTCTCCCTGGCGATTTCACTACCTAGTTGATATGTAGTAATTACTTTTTGGTAACTGTTGACTTCATGCACATGCAACATCAAAGAGTGAGCTTGAGAGTCAATCTGGGTAATAACAGTGATTCTATTTTTTAAAATCTATTGAGTACTCGGCACTTCAAATATTAACTATTATTTTCATTTTAAGTACAGAGAAATTGAGGTCTGAGGTTAATTGGCCAAAGATGTGGATCCTAGTGTTAAGTTTTATTTATTCTGATTCTGTATCACTAGTTTTCCCTTTCTCCATAATTAATTACCAAAAAATTATGGAAAATCTAAGGGGCATTAAAATAATTTCTTCAGTGATATCAGTGATATTCCTTCTTGGCTTTTAATCAGTAACAATAGCTGGCACTTCGTTAAAAGTTTGGAATTTACTTGCACGTACATTTTCCACACCTCTTACGCTGTGAGAGTGTTATACTGCTGACCTCTACTGGGGTCAGAAGTCTGTGTTGACTCCCGGCTGCACCCCTCACTCTTCTGGATTGTATTAAGCATTTCTAGAGATGTGAAATCATGCATTTACGTCCTAGAGGATGGTGAGAACAGTTCATAGACACTTTATGACTATCCACTAATGCTGACCACACACATGTGGCCTTTGATCCAGAGGAGCAGCTCTTTATTTGAACTTCAATCTAAGGAGGAAGGAGCCCCTGGTCTGGCATAATTTACGACGTGATGCTATGTCCTGAAATTCCACTGAGATTAGTGGTCTTAAGGTATCCTAGTACATCCCTCACTTTACAGTACATGACACTATAATATGGCTTAAGTGACGAGGGGAGTGGCTCTATTATTTTTAATTCAAGTGTATAGATACTTGGGGGATATCTGAGTACTGAGTGATCAGAAAGGTTATCGTGGGAGCTCTGAGTCATTGGATCAGCATTCCCGGTATGAGTGTACTCAGTCCATTCAGTATTATAATTCATAATTCTTATATACAGCCAATTCTTGAGTAGATAATTGAACCTCCTCCACCACAAAACTTGAAAATAAAGAACAAGAAAGCATGGTTTGAAAATGTACCTGCCCTCTTTTCCCTCTGGACTGTGATGCTGAGGTGCAGGGATTTAGCAAAGGATGGGCTGTGGGAAGAACACCTGGGTGAGCTCCCCTCCGATGACCCCAACTGAAATCATCAAGGGGGGCTATATTCATGGGAGAATGGGCAACTTCTCCACAGAAAGCTCAAATACTAGTCCAGCCACGCAGCTTCCCGCTCCTGACTGCAGGATCAACATGCAGAGAACCAATCACTGGTTCCTGCTGTTGCTGCTTCTTGAAGAGCAAGTATTCTTATGCCAAGATAAAAACCGTAACAGAGCTATTGCACTACCAATAGGTCAAGACACATGACAAATGCCCACCGTGGCACCCCAGCTGCCGGTGGCTACTGCTGCTGGAAATAACCCCAGGGCCTCCCTTTACGAGTGTCACTAGCTTGGCCTTCAGGGTTTACCTAAGTGAAAACCCATGACAGAGGGGTACTGGAGAACTGTCCATTGCAAACCACAAGGGACCAAGGACAGGCTTTGTACCCTCTGGGACAGAAGGAGGGCACTGGAACTCTGGATGTCAGGTATTTGAAATGAAGACTAGATGCCTGTATGTGTTCCTGGGTGTGCACACAGTCACAGCCTTACAGCGGAATGGAAAAAGAGGTCGAATCAACAGCCAGGGTGGTAGGGTAAATGATCAGGATTGGCACGCTGACCTGTCACTTTGCGAATGGTCTTAATTTTGTGAAATGGAGCTAATGTCTCCTAGAAACTGCATGGTTATTTCATCTGTTTAAACATTGGCTTATATGTGCATCTGAAATGTCATTGAAAACAGGAAGACCATGCTTAGGACAGGAGGAAGAAAGGAGGGGGGAATTTTTCAGATAATCCATAGTTAAAAGAACGAGTAAAAACAATAGCAAGCCAACAGTAGTATGGCATCTGTGGTATGCAAAACAATGAATGAAAATGTTAAAGGTGTTACGCATGTGAAAATGAACCAAATAAAGGAGGACAGCAAGAACACGAGACAAAACATTTGTCACAAGAGACCAGATCTTCTTGAAAGAGCAGACTTAGTTCTAAGTCCTTGGCCTTTGGACGTGAAGCTGTTTCCCTTCTCAGAAGAAAGGCCCAGTGCTGCACAAGAAAAGTCTCCCCAGTTAGACACTGCCGTCAGAAGGGCGCAGACATCCCGCTGCAAGTGAAATCCAACAGGACAACTATGTGCAAATAGCAGCCTTTAGTTTTGCCCTAAACAGACGAAGTATTCCTCACAGCGCCATTCAACTCCCCACAAGCAGAAATCCCAGAACTCAGAATGAGAAAAGGGATTGACAAGCCCAATGGTTTGCACATCATAAATGTGGCGTGTGGTCAGATTATAGAGTGATGAAAAAATGTTGCATCCGCCTGCCCTCTCCTTACAAAGCCTTTCTCTACACTGGGTTTTAATAGTTCTGAAATCTCTTGGAGTTTGAAAGATAGTAGCATAGCTTTTGCACCAAGATTAACATGGCACAGTGGGAACAGGCTACTGACAAATCCACATGGTTTCACCTTACCCACCAGGACCCCTCAGGGCGCCCTTGTTCTTATATCTTTCATTTTAAGCTGGTTTCAGGTCAGGTGCAAGGGACCACTTGTGCTGCTACTATCACTCCTCCTCCCAGCTTAGTGGATCTTAGTGGAGACACTTAACCCTGTGCGGTCCTTACACCTGGGACTGGCACCTGTCGCTGGACACGTACAACTGAACAAATCCCCAGACAATACTACTCACGCAGGTGTCCCTGGGATGCACAAGGCACAGGTCCTGCCCCTCCGTCACATCCAGCCACCCAGTCGGTTGCTCCATTGCAACACCACCCGTTTGGATAGAAGAGAACTGTAGGAGTGGTTATTTGTAAAGGATTGCTTATCCCTCCAGAATGCCAGCAGTTCTGGCTTGGCATCTGTCTCAAGCCAAGCATGGTCACAGCCAGGACAAAGCAACCTGTACCAAGTTTGAAGGGACCTGCATCTCTCGTCACCATCAAACTACCTGCACTGAAAGCACCCAAGTGTGGGGTCAAGCCAACTCCATACACATCTTGAGAATACCTATGCTGAGCAGGGTGAGGGACCAGGCCCCTTTCTATTTGGGTCAAGACCTGGGTTAGCTGGGACACATTTATGTGTATGTGGGGGGGGGGACTCACACACTTGCAAACACATGGGCTAATATGGGTGTTAATATTGGAGGGAAAATTTGGCTTTTTGTTTGTCTTTTTTTCAGTCTAAATTACGTTTCCTGACTATCAAGTACAGGAGGAAAGAATGTTTGGCAAGTTGTGGGTACCTCTTCTTTGCTTTTGTCACTTGGGCTTTCTTAGACAAAAGGAAAGGAGAGAAGTGTGTTCCCGGACCTCAGTGGCGAGGAATCCATCTCCCAAGCCTGACACCAGCCCTTCCCCTGGGGTGCCCCTTTGGGCCGACTTCTGACTTCTTCGCTGTTGGCTGCTCAGTGCACCTAACCCCCCACCCCACCCCCCGTGAAGACCTGAGATTGAGCGTGGATTTCTGTTCTCCACCAACTCTGCAGCAAGGGCCCTGCCAGAGGCGACGCTTCCTGTCATCTCCTCTTCCCGCTCCCAAGTAGAGGCACCTAAACAGAGATTAGATTTCTGGTTTCAAGGCATATCGAACCAAGCACGCTGAGTGAACACGAATTAGTTAATTAGCGTGGTCTCTCTTCCTTCTGTCCCCTGGTCTGAATGTTCCTTGATGGCAAAGTGACCAGGGGAGAGTTGATTTGCATCTTAAGACCTATGGGTAATGCTTCTGGAGTGGGGAGTTTTATTTAGCAACTGCTTGAACTTGTGTATGGGGTGGGGAAGGAGGTGGAGCTGACCCCAATCGGGCTGTCGGAGAGTGGGGTGTGGGTGGTGCCCACCGCCACACTGACGCCCCGGGCCTCGATGATGGCAGACAGGAGCTGCTGCTGTTGCTGGCGCAGGGTCTCGGCGACGAGCAGGGGCAGGGAGTTGAAGCTAGCAGTGAGATGCTCCAGCTTGGACTCCAGGCTGCCGATTTGCTTCTCCAGGTCTTCGCTCCTATCGTTGAGTTCTGTGATCAAGTCATACATGACGTTCTGCATCTGTGTAGACAGACAAATCATCACACGGGAATGAGCAACAAGAAGAGAGAGACGGACCACCGGATTACATGGGAGCGACAGCCACACCAGCCAGCCTGGACTGCTGAGCAAGGACAGTTTGCCTTCCTGAAGACATGGAGCCTCAAGCGGCCTAACATTTTTTTCCCTCATTGCAAAGGTAATACATATAGTTGGGAAAATATATTAGAAAACATGTAGGATGGAAAAGCAGCAGCACTTTTTTTCTTAAATGAAGGGAGTCATGAGCTGTCCTCCAGGTCTTACTTCTGCAGCCTCAGCTCAGACAGCTGCTGGAGTCTACTGATCAGAGAGGGGCACGTGGTGGGTGACCAACCCTGCCAGTGAGGCAGCTCACTAATAGTTTTCTCCCTAGGGGCCCCAGCCTCCCTAACCACTCGGGGCTGTGAAGTTAGTACCCCGCCCCACACCCCTGGCCGACACGCACACAGCTCCGGACAGCACGGGGCCAGTTTGTACAAGGCAGCACACCCCTCGGCCAGGGCTGCAGCCTGCCTCGCAAGCTGCTCGCTGAGGTCAGTCCCCTCCCTGGTCGAAGAGGAGGTACACGCCTCACTGTGGATCACCCTGCCCAGTCCACTCCCGTGTTCCCCTGGGTGGTCTGAGGCCCTTGTCTGTCACATCACAGTTCACACTCTCTGTCTTCCCTCACTCTGACAGCCAACCACCCCCCGATAAGCCTCCTGTACCCAGGGCTGTCTCCCAGCGCTCCAGGGAGCTTCTCCTCACATAGCCCTCAGCTGATGCCCTGGTCTCCGCGAACAGTCACTTCTCAACGGAGCCTCTTTCACGTCCTGCCTGACAGAGCACCTGCCCCCATCCCTGCTGACCCCACTAATCCTGCCCCACTTTTCCTTTTATTCACACTGCCTTCGAACACCCGGGGTACTCTGCTGTTTGTTCTGCTTATTGTAGCTGTCTGTCGTGGCTCCTGGGGTGGGGAGACCTCAGCCTTTGTGTTCACTGATAACTGAAAACCGGGTCCGTCACATAGAAGAGGCTCAATCAAAGTTTTGACATAAGACGCTCGACTAATATCTTTGATGACGAATGTTCATACACACATGTGCTCAGCAGACGACTCTGTACTCAATATTGGCGCTAACAAGTGTTGGTAGAAAAATGAATAAAATATGGGCACAGGTCAAATTCACCACCCTTCCATCCTTTGGCCCAGGTGGGAGTTTTGCGAAGGTGGGAAAGATCTTTTTTGCCACAAATTATTTTCTTCTAGCTAGATGGTTTGTCAGAAAGACCCTTATGCCTACATGGTTTAGATGGTTCCAGTGAGACCCGAGTGACTGAAGAAAAGGACTTCTAAGGGGCTCAGCCACAAGGCACACTCCTCAGGACAGAGCCTTGGCATGATCTTGTGAATGAACTTGAAGGAGGTCACGAGAGCAGGAGAGCAAAACTGGGGTGTCCACAGGGAATTTAAACATAATAAACTTGCCTTCTGAAAGTTTAGTCACAAAACCAGGTCGGAGCAGAACTGAATAGAGGGGCTCGTGCCAATAAACACTTTTCCTTCCTAAACCTATTTTTTGCCAGTGTTCCTGCCTCCATGACAGACACTGCCATTCAAAACGTTCCCTCCCCCCACCCCCAGAAACCTAGGCGTCCTCCTCCCCTCTCCCTCACATGTCATCCACAGGAAGTCTGTCAGCCCACCTCTAAATATCCCTCAATTGCAATTCACTGAATGGCAGTTGAACCACTTGGGTTCCAGCCAGGACCCGCAAGCAGGCTACTGAGTGCTCCCTGGTCACGCCCATGGTTCCGATGCCACTGTCATCAGGCAAGTTTCTGATTATAATTTGGCTCCTGGGTTGGTCTGCAGCGTCCTCGTCTACGGGACAGCCACACTGCTGCCTGGAAATTAGCAAGTGCTGTGATTCTGGGTGTCGTCACGCTCGGGTCCAGGAGTGAGCCTCCTACGCTGCAGCACCCCGCCCTCCGCACTGTCACTCTTGGGACTTCTGGTCACATGCCAGTGACACCCGAATCCTATTTACCTGACATGTCAAGTTACTACAGGAAGATGCAGAATTTATGGGTGCTCCAGGACCACGAAGTAAGAAACAAGGTGAGGAAGAACAAAAGAGGAATAAAGGAAGGTAGGAAAATATGAGAAGCCAGAGGGGAAATGGGAGAAGGGGATGAAAGTGTGGCTGCTCCCTTCCCAGCTAGTGAAAGGCCCATGGGGAGCAGCAGAAGAGCTCCCAGGAGGTGGAAGGAGGCAGCAGGTGTTCGAGAGCCGGGCACCTCCCAAGATCCCCTTGGAAGAGAGGGTGACTTCTGAAGAGAAAGTACTCCTTTCATGAATTAAAATTCACAGTCTCCTCAGGTGCACTTTCTCCCTGGGGTTTGTGGACAAACCACAAACATACTTGGCCACGGAGCACCGAGTCCAGACCCCTGGGTCTGCTCAGGGCTGTCACTCGCCAATTGCCCGACCTGGGACAGTCGCTTTGCCCCTTGGCATCTCGGTTTCCTCATCTATGTTCACCATCAGAACTGCATTTGCAGAACTTCATGGTTTACAAAGCACTGTCACAGATAGCTGGATGACTTGAACCTCAGATGTGAGAAATTCTTGTTAATCTGAATTGAAGGAAATGAAGCTAGTAGAGTCGCAGCCCTCTCCCCTGTTCAGTAAGAGAGCTGGTCAAGACAGAAAGTAATATTTGGAAGCCACATGTCATTTTCTTAATCTAGAGAGGTGCTAAAAGCTGGGGGAGGTGAGTTGAGGGCGGCGAGGAGCACAGACAGGACAAGGAGAGAACACCATGTCACTGTCAGCCTGTCCTTTTGCTGAGTGCCAAGGGGGACATGGACCAATGTGAACTATGTTAAGCAGCTGCCAGGGCCTTGGGTGAGCCCCCTGGAGGAAAAGACCAAGACTGGACATCAGATACGCCAGGTCTCACACCACTGCCAGCCTAAGGGAGTCTTGATTGACCCGCCCTCCACACCCTCTCTTTCAAGGCAGCTTTTTCCCTGATTAGTAATGGCTTGGTTCCTCCACCCAACTCATACCAGCCTCTTTCTGCTTCGGCAAGTATCTGCTCTCATCTCGGTGAGAGGCTGGTGGTGCTTTGGAAATGCAGGCCTGAAGGTTTGGTTTGCCTGTGTGTCCAGCCAGCTGAGAGGAGAGGTGGGAACACTGCTGCTCGTAGAAGAAAGATTTTGAGGCATTGCCTCCTTTGGCTCTTCTTGAACCTCTCAGGATGGGGCTCCCCCCACTTTTCCTGGTCACAGCTGTTGGTCCAATGCTGGACATGTGACTCTTAATTGGCCAATCTCTTCGTCTCTTCTGAGAATTTAGAATTAAGACCAGTAGGAGGACAATTGTCTTTGTTTGTGGCTAGAACCAGCTCATGGCTCTCTGGACAGGGGCCTGCCACAGAGACAGGAGACACAGACAGACCTCTGTCCAGACAGACAGAAAGAAAGGGAGGCTTGAAGCACACACTTGAACAGAAAGAGAAAAATGAGATGGTGAGAAAGTACTTCCTGGGTGTGAAGGCTTCCAATGTTTGGTTCTAGTTAGTTCTTCCCTAAAGTCTGGCCACACATACCTGCTCTGAGGTTCTGCCTGGAATGAGACTCCCTTCTATCCTTATAATAAAGGCCTCCATTTGAAATCTATACCCAATGGATTTCTGATGCTGGAACCTGAGAACTTTAACCAACATAACTGAGACCCCAGGGGATTCTCTCCTGCACCCAAGCAGTCCCTCACACACCCCTCCTGCAGGCTTTTGGGAGACCCACACTGCACCTCATCACCTCCTCTTAAGTCACACAGCCTGCGGGCTTCTCCCCACCTGTGAGGTCACCCATTCCCAACCTGAAGTATTCCCAGGCCAGAGGCCTTTACTTTGCCTTCATCCCTTCACTGCAAGGCACCTGCAGCTGGCCCAGTCAATTGGCATTCTCTCTGTTTGCTCCCTCTTTGCAAAAGGGGTTTAATTTGCTTGAGGGAGTTTCTCTTGCTTACCCAGGGACCATGTGCCATTATGATAATCGACATCTATTGGAATGTTCCAGCAGCCTGACCTTGGCAATACACCTTGACACATAACTTCTATCAAGAGGCCGTGAGGAGGGGGCCTAAGAAGAGGGTTTCTTTCTTCGTGGCTCCACTTGGCCCTACGAACAGTGCAGACTTCCTGCCTTCACTCAGTGATTTGCAAGAGGAGTCAGTTTCTTCCCATGTGTGAGGCAGAAATACAGGCTTGACAGTGTGATGGCAAGCCCCAGGGTTCTCAAAGGAAGGCTCTCTTTCTGGACAGCTCATTGTAGGTTATCTGCTTATTACAAGGTAAAGCAATGCACCCACCATGACCAATGTGCTGCCAGAAACCCTGGATGGCAAGGATGGAAAGATGCAGGGGAAGGAATTTCCAATTACAATAGCAAACTGCAGGATCTTTCTCGGTGGGAACGAGGCAATGCCGTCACTACCTTCACCATTCAGTCCTTGTCAGCGGGCTTCACCCCAGCGAGCGGACTCTCGCTCATCCCCAAGAAGCCCTCAGAAGGCAGTGAAGAAAGCAACACACTATAAAGGTTTAGTAGGTTGGCTTAGTAATTCCAAGCCAAGACAAACCTGAGCAACTGAACTGAAGAAACAAATACTAGTCTCAGTAAGACAAATATAATATGATTCTACTTGTCTGAGGAACCTGAAGCAGTCAGCTTCGTAGAGACAGAAAGCAGGATGGTGGTTGCCAGGAGATGGGAGGGAGGGCTGGAAGGTAAAAGCTAGAGTCAGAGCCTCTGAAGACTCCAGTTCTAACACACACACACACACACACACACACACACACACGGAGATACACACACACACAGATACACACACTATTACAACACAAAGCAGAACAAAGCAGTTTTTGTTTCATGGGCACACAGTTTCAAGCTAGCAGAGGAAGAGAGTTCTGGAGATGGGTGGTGGAGACGTTCACAAAGGAATATGAATGGACTTAATGTCACTTAAACACTGTGACAATGGGAAATGTTGTTATATTTTACCACCACTAAAAATATCAATTAAAAAGAAGGAAGGCAACTAGAAAAGAAAAGAAACAAATGGCAGGTTTTAAAAGGCAGCAGGACATGCTAGTAGGTTGCAAATGTCAGCCATTTGAACCCGGATCCTTTTTTAGGAGAAACTGTCCTTGGCTTTCCTGGTCTTGTTCTGTACTTTTCGCAGCCGCACCTGAGACTTCTACATGCCAGTGTCTGAGGACACTTGGGGGTGTCTTCGGGCTTTGCTACTCACCTTGGATAGGTCCACCAGCGTGTTGGCTTGGTCACTCAGCTTCCTCTGCTCCATCTTGACACTCCTTAGTCTGTGGGAAAGAGTTGCCACAGCCACACCCTTCAAATATGCATTAAGGTTTGGCCCCAGGAGCCAATTCACACCTACTGCAATCCATTTTGGTTTTGGAACCTACACATGAACCTTGAACATGAGGGAGAACTGAGCGACTCCAGGCCCCCGAGCTCCGTCTTCACGCATACTCACCTTCTGCCACTTCAGTGTCCTGGCTACTCTCGGATCATCCCCCCACTTCTACGTCTGCACCGTCTACCTCCAGGGCCCCATTATCCACCTCCAAATTCTCCCCAGACCTCCAGGTCAGAGTAAATGTTTCCATTCCCTGCTTCTCCACTATGCTTTTATAATACCTCTCAGAGAAGGCTCTCACCATCATTTGTTCTGCTTTGAGTTGTAATGTGGTGTGTGTGTGTGTGTGTGTGTGTGTGCGCGCCTGTGTGTAGGATGTAAGTCTGCAGAGACTGACTCCAACTTCTACCTTCCAAGGCAGCCTGGAAGTAGCTAAAGCAATAAACCAATAAACATACTGGTCTGGGCCTGGCTTACCACCCTGAGTGTGCTGAGTGGAACAGAATGTGCCTCCTGAGCGTACAGGGAGACCCTGAGCACAGTGGGGTCCCACCACCCTGATGTGGGCATCTGGCAGAGCAGCGGGGGTACTCACTGGTGGATAGCCTGGAGGAACTTCCTCTGGTGCTTCCTGACTTTGGCGTGGTCAATCTTCTTTAGTAGCTTTGTGTGTTTATAGATTAGCCACGTTTCCCGAAGGACATTGGCTGCAGCATTCTTGATCTAAAGGAAAATAAATAAAAGAGATCACAATCATGTTCTTTTTCTCGGGTTGACAGAAGATGTTTTTGGTGTGTTGATACAGTCTACCTTCTTTTTTTAAAGATGTATTTATTTATGCATTGGGTACAGGCCAGAGGTGCAAGGGGAGGGGTGAGAGGATTCACCGGAGGAGACAGAGTGGGGAGCAGAACAGGCTGACTGACAAAGTACACGGCAGAGGGGAGCAGCAGGCAGGTCAGGAGAGGTCTGCTGCATCATATGAGTCAGTTCCCTGGCTGGGGATCGAACTCATGCTGCAGTGGCTGTGATAGCTTCACAGTACTATGCTTTAACCCATTGCACCACCAGGGAGAGCCCGATACAGTCTGCCAATAAGGAAAGCATTGTGCCATCATCTAGTTCCTTAATCAAATCATGAACTCTAGAAAGGATGACTAAAATGCATCCCCTGTTAATCCTGGGCTGGACTTAGCAGGCTGGAGCTGAAGTCAAGAGGTATTTCTTGTTTCTTTCTTAATTATTCCAGGGCTGCCTCTCCACTGCTGCTGCAGAGGCTATATTTAGACAGGCTCATCACCCAGACTCAGAGGCCGGGGGCAGCCTCTGAATGCATAAATATACATTGTTCCTGCCCTTGCCTGCACAGTTCCTCGCTCTCCCTGAGACTTGAACAAGCACACGACACATTTCTTGGATTCAAAGAGTAAACAGATTTTCTATCAGCTGGAGATTTTAGAAGTCCTCTTTGAGGAAATATCTCTCCTACAGGATGGGAGCACAGATATCAACAAGGCCAGTGTTTCCTCCCCCAAATGGACAAACACTGGACCCTTTGGTGATGCCAGCTGTAAATGTAATTGGCGTGCTGAGACGATGTCTAAGCAGTGCCCAAAAATCAGAGACAATGTTTAGGTGTGAAACCAGAGCTGCATCGTTTCCAGGGCTGACTTCTGTGCCGTGAGCGGTGATCACACATTTCCACATGCAACGCTGTCATCTGTTGACATGGAAACCACTGATATCACCCAGCTCACGGCAGAGCTGAGACATATCAATGGTTTCCAGATGGCAGGGGACAAAGTTTTAATCCAAACACAGACATCTTCAGCAATTAGTAACGAGAGCAAGAGGAAACATTTCTTATTAAGCACAGTTAAACAGATTTTTGATTAACGGGTCCCACTTCTGTCAGCCGTGCAAATTGGCACAGACCCACAGGCCCCGGGCCTCGGAGTAAGTAGGCCAGCCTAGTAGAAATCGGGTGACTAGCCAGAAAGTATTTTAATAAAACGGGAGAGCACAGGCCTGCTTCTTCAGACTGACACCAGCAGATGGGACTTTGTTAAAACGCTGAGCCATGTGGGAAGGCCAAGGAAACATTGTTTTGCAGGCTGATAACTTTTGTGTGTGTGTTTTAACGATTTATTACTAAGGCTAGGTTATATTTTTTCATTGGCGTTGAAGTGTTTTTAAAAGAACAGCTAAGTCTTCTCAGAAATGTCTAAGTGACATAAATATTGCTTTTTTGTGCAGTAAAAATCCACTGTGAATATGATTTTAAGTGACTTAATTGCCCACCCCTGGCACTTTCTTGCCTGAAAGGAAGCAAGTGATAGTGGGTGGCAGCTGGAAATGGTACTTGTCCAGGTGATGAGGCATGGGGAGGTAGAGAAGAGAGTGGTCCCTGGGGTCTGTCCAGGGCATGGCATGGACAGCGACCTCCTAGCGAAAGAAGCAGCATCAAAGGAAAGCAGGTCTGGGCAGCCCTCTGTCAATGCCACTGAGAAGGAAGCTGACATGTGATTTCCTCAGTTTCCCTGGTGTTCAGCCTCCACGGAAGCTGCCTCACAGACACAGGAGGGGAGAGCCTATCCCTGCATGTAGAACCATCCAGAGTCTACAGAGTCCCAGTTTCCAAAGTCTCCTCTTTGGAATACTGATATTCCTGCCTGGCATGTCATGGATGGACCCATGAAAGCTGTCTGTAGGCTGGTATGGAACAAACCTTCAACACTGGAAAGACTATAAATGAATCTTTGATCCACTAGTGACCAAGGTGTTTAGGAGTAAATGTTTAATTATCTGTAAGACAGGAAAAATAAATCCTTCCCCAGAGGTTGTTTATGAGGCCCAAAGGAGGCGATGATGGTGGTGCTGACAGGGAGCCATGGCCGGCACTCAGCAGGTGCAGGTACACGTGTGCCCAGCTGTCACCCAGGCAAACTCCGTGAGCACCCCCAGCAACCCTGGGGCTAGCCCCGTTTCACAGAAGAAGAAGTCAAGACACAGATCAATACTGTAAATGGCAAATGGAGTTGATGGGATTTAACTAAACTGTATAGTTAGTTATTATCACCTAAACCAGACCCCCCTTTAAAACTTATAGCCACCAGCTTCCAATACGGGGCATGAGGGCCAGAATCATACAGCTGGCTGATGGCACAGTGAAAACAAAAGCCAGGTCCAAGGAGAGCAAACGGTTTCCATGTGGTCTGAAGAAAGACCTGACTGGATTTCATCTCTACACAACAAAATTATTTCCTGTTTTCCAGGATCAGGGAATTGGAAAAGACATTCGATTTATTTTGTTTGTTTGTTTAAATCGGCATGGCCCTCAGTCAGCATATGAGAGAACAGGGAGTCCAGGCCTGCTGCTGAACTTCAGCCCACATGAAACCCTGGGAAGCTGAGAGAGGCCGTCATCACCTCATTTTACGGGCTTGAACAGGAGGCCCCTGAGTCCCTGGGAAAGTGATGTTAAATGCAAGCCTTGGTGCTGACTCTGAAATTAATTGCCAGCAAACAGCCTGGCACAAAGCTAAGAAGATCAATATCTTCAAGAAAAAAAGAAATAGGCTTTTAACTGCACTGTGCTCCCCAAGTCGACAGTAAATGCTGTCATGACTGGGGTCGACCTCCAACTCACTGGCTGACTGCTCTACGCATCGTTGGGGTGGGGTCAGTGGACACCGTGTGTCCCTCTTGGGATATTCTGAGCTCTTGCAGGGCTCTCGAGCACTGTTCCTGATGGGGACTTAGGTGCCCTTTGAGCCCTCCTGGTGCGCAGGGCCCCTAAAGGTATTCCTGGGGCTGCCGGGAGCTGGGAAGGATGAAGGATGAGCAAGGTCGGCCTTGGTCAGGTGGGCTGAGGGATGGCCAGAGGAAGGAGGCGTGTGCACAGCTCCAGACCCAGGAAGTGCAAGAACTGGTGTGCTTTCACTCCGGGGGGGTCAGAGAGGGTCGTGCTGCGGAAGGACTCTAAGATTAACAGGTGTGGGCCAGAAAGTCGTCAGCTGAGACCCTGCAAATAATGTGGCAGCTGGCATTTACTGAGCACTTACTGTGTGCCAGCTTCTGTGCTTTGTGTTTACATTATTCCATTAACCCTTAGCAAAACCTCAAGCAATGGAATTTATTATCTCCCATCTTGGACCCGTTACTGAGCTTGGGACCCGATTTTCTCATTTATTCTTTCAAAAACAACAAGAACAACAACATTCAGTGGGCCCCTTTGATGGGGCAGACACAGTTCTAAGAGGGGAGAAAATTGTCATGAGTGACCCAAGCACTCCCACCTCACGGAGTTTACTATCTTGAAGGGATGGGACAGCAAGAAGCTGCAGAGAAAATGCAGTGTGGTGGGGAATCAGCCAGTGATGCCCGTGTTACTGCCTGGGAAGTGGGGTTGTTGTGTGGATGGAGGGTGGGGGTTGTACCCATAAACATTAGGCAGAGAGCCAGCCCCATTAAGCCTCAATACATGGCTGGGAATATACTCCGTCTCCCCCGGTGCCCCAATAAATGTTAACTTCTTTCTCTCTCCCTCTCCCCAACAAAAAGAAAACATAAAACAGAACACGTATGTTTGTTCTTTGTGCTCTTGGACGTATCACCCACGTCAATGGTTTGCTTTTGGGCCCTCTCTGCCAGGGTGAACTGACACTCTGTATAACAGGGTCTGTGGGGTACAGAGGGCTCTTCTGTCCTCCCCATTCTCCAGCAGCCACAGGGAGCCTGCTCGGGAATTCCAGAAGCCCCGACAGTGGATCCCCCTGGAAGAAATCGTTAGTGTGTCTGTGATGCACCGGGGATTCTTCCCAGGGAAAGGGCTTTCCGCCTGGGAGGGAGGGAGGGAGGCACATTAGAATGGCAAGTGGCTGATTTTAGATGAACTAAGTCCTGAGAAACATCACAGTTTGAGAACCCACAGATTGGCCGTGCCCCACACATTTGACTAAAGGTGTGCATGACCCACCGTCATGTCCCCTATGCCTCTGCCAACCCTTCCTCACCTCCACAGCTTTCTGTGGGCTCCCCAGCTTCTAGCCCTTTCTTGTACCCACTAACAGTCTCTCACCTTCCTTACCCCATCTTTGTCCATCCTCCCAGTTCAGGCATTTCTGCTTGCCTGGCCTCAGACTGAACACTTAGAATGGAGATGCCAGACCCGTGGTTGGCAGGAGCCAGGGGCAGAAAATGAAGGAGAAAATAGTTCAAGGCTGGAGTTTGAAGCTCTTTCCCCATAGCAACATGGCAGTGAATGGGGTTAATTCTGCAAAGCTCTGAGTGTGATGCTTCACTAGTTTGGAGCGAAGCAGGCTTGGGCCCTAACCACCATGCCAAGTTCCAAAGAGCTCTGGAAAGCCCACTGGGCTATGGCTAGAGAACTGCCTGCCAGACAACCGGCTGCAGTCCTGGCTGGAACCCAGCTGGCCGCAATGGCTGGGCTGCTCTTGCCTCACTGATCTCTGGGGTGCAGCAGTGCAACCCTCAGGGTCCTTCCAGTACACTGTTGTTAAAGGAAAACCACACCCAACCTGTCTAGGACAGACTCAGACTGTCCTGGTGAGTAATAATAATTTACACTCTCCTTCTAGAGAGAATTTGCATCCCTGATAACGACTCAATCAATTATTTGATACATTTTAAAGAGATGAAGTCTTGTTCTGGGATGCTGGTGTGGTCCACCAGCTGTCAGTCCCTTAGCGTCAGTCTAGAGGCCTTTAACCAGAGGCCTTCTGCTCCAGGATAACGAGGACATTGTCTTTTCCTATAAAATAAGCTCACTATGAGTAAATCTTTAAGTTTACCTGATACATATGTGTGTGTGTGTGTGTGTGTGTGTGTGTGTACATACATACAGCAGGATTGTGATAAAACTTATGACTATAGAAACTTTTCTTTGCATTGTTCTGGGGGTGTGTGTGGTCGGGGCATGGAGATCATTAAAGGTGCGTGAGCAGGTTGGAGGCATGTTCAGTACTAAATCGATCCACACAAGCAGAGTGCCATACAAGCAGGAGCCAGGGAAGCACCGTGCAAGGCGTGGAGCAGGCTGCAGGCAGAAGGCTGGAAGAAGCCACTTTGTGGACACATAAGGCCAGGGCAAGGTTGAAACAGGCCCAGAAGCTGCTTGGATCCCTGTGAGGTCCAGGGCACAGAGGGGTTGGAGAAGCTGCCAAATTTCCAGGCCTAGAGGCTGGCCCAGTGATGCCATTAGCTGGCCGGAGTGGCTAGAAGAGGTGTTAATTTAGGAGAAACGGGACTGGCTTCATTTTGAGTCGTTGATTTCATAGAAAATTAGACTTGGATGAAGGATTTGGGGCAAGAAGCCCCTTGCAAGGGTGAGGGGACACAGTCCTCAGCCAGCAGTGGCAAACAGCATCTCCTGTCCACTCCACCTCTGAAGCCAAGTGTGTTGGGGCAGCCTACCTTACCTTGCAGAAAGAAGAGGCAGTAGGTATGAGGAAAGGGACCAGCTCTTACCCATCGTGGTGCCCCCCAAACCCACAGTGTTGTCTGGCAGGCAGATGACCCCTGCGAGGGGGGTGTGCAGAGGTGGGGGTGCGCAGTGTTGCCGGAAGGTGAGGACCTGGTATCTTTTCCACAGTCTCTCCATGTGTCATTTACATATATATTATCCAGTAGCCGAGAGGTTAGCAAAAAATTATAATTATAGAATAACAATGGCAGTAACACTGGAAAGGCGTGTGGGAAGGTCGGATTGCATTAAATACAGAAATGACATTGCCAGCAGGGTTGACAAGTTATACAAATGAAAGAAGAAAAGCCATAGGGTTCAGAAAAACCAGCAACTGAGCTTTTCTTATGTGTGCGATCAGGCTCCCCCACCCCAAGATAAATAAATAGTGTGACTCTCAGGTAAAGACTAAGCTGGAGCCTTTACAGCAACACAGGGAGGGTGAGAGAACACTAGACCCATCTGACGATTTTTATGATTTGTAGGTTATAATATCTTCTTTGTTTTTTGCTTAGGAGTTTGAAGAACTAAGGTTGTATGTGTTTGTAAGAGATTGCCTTTTTGTCTACTAAATCTACTAATTGTCCTCTTCTGAGAGGTTTGCAATTACGCTGCAATCACCTGCACTCTGAGAATTCACTGAGACCTTAAGAATAGACTGATCCTAGCTGCTCTGACCAAGGAGCCACCCCAGCTCGACACGCTGGCTATTTGGAAAGGAGAACGTGGGTATCTGGGGTAGGATGGTGGATTGCTCAGAGCTTAGAGCAAGGAGACCTGAAGCCAGAGCTGGCCAGCCAGCAGCGAGTCCCTGCCAATCAAAAGATTTAAAAGAACCTTTGTGAGTCTAGGTCCTTCCAGCTTTGAAAATCCGCTTTCTGCAAGAACCATGGCTTTTGTGTTTTGTGGGTTTTTTTCCCTCTGGGAAAACATATTAGACAGTAAAGGGACATTTCAACAGATTTCAGTGTTCTCAGAAAAGTGAGATGTTATTCAATTAAAAAGGTGCCTTCCACTCATGGATGAGCAATAAATATTTGTTGATTTGATTTTCAGTCCTACTTTTCAAAAAGTAAGTGGACTTGAGGAAGATTTTAGAGAATCAATTTTGAGAAACTGAAATTAGCAACCACAATCTCATCTCCTTCTACAATTATACTACAGAAAAAATGTTTATTTTTCTGTCGTATGAGAGAACTGGCTTTCCTTGCCTTTATTTTCCTCTAGTGCCTGATTTACAGAATGAAAAATAGAGAGGACAAAGGAAGAACAGGAAATGCAAAGTATATCCTTGGCTTTCAAAAGCCAGCCAGAATAAACAGAGAGATGGTAATGTCTGCTTTAGGGAAACAGCTTCTGGAAGAGTTCAGAGTGGAACTCTCTGACCCCTCGCTCCTGCACTGAATTATTTCAGGAGAAGAAGTGCAACCACATAGATGTTCCAATAACTTGTAATTTGCTCAGTGCAGAGCATGACTTCGCGTGTGCATTAGAGGACTGGGGGAGGGCAACTAGGTTCTAGCGTTCGAGGTGAACCCCAATGGGGCACAGCCCTGGAGCCTGCCATCATGATGCCACCAACCATGTTTTCTTTGGTGCAACACAGTTCAGGACCACAAAGTACCAGACACCACAACAACACAAGAACGTTTGACTGTACGGCTCCTTTTGACATCTGTGGAAGCCCTTTAAAGAAGTCAATCGACGTAATTAAAGACCAAACAATCAAACACCATAAATAATTCTGCTGAGAAACTGGAGAGGCCTTGGCATCTGCGCATTCTCCTCCTGCCTTCCCGAATAGCTGTCTTTCTTTTTCTCCTTCTCTCTCTCTCTCTTTTTGTTCTCTCTCAGGCTTTGTCTCTATCTCCAACACATTTTTCCTGTGCTACAACATTAATCACTGAATATTTTCTCTGGCTTTCAAAAGCCCAGTCAGAATGTGCTTGCCCATGAATCTCCTAATCCACTTTGGTTCCAAATGAGAAGTGCTTGTTATGGCAGCCATGACCCCAGCACAGGGTTCTCACTCTTGCCGCATGGAAAGGGGCGTCTGCAAGAAATCATATTACTGACCTTCGTTCAGCCTGCAGCTCTAAAGAATTTTCCATAAAAGCTGTCATTAAATAAACAGCTCCTGCCTTGCTCATTTGGCCTGCTGTTCTCCTGGAAGGCTCATTTCTGTCTCTTCTTAATGGGCCTTTTCTTCTCTGACAATTCAGTGGGGTGTCAGACTTCGAGCAGCTAAATGATCTCCCCATTCCTGCATATTTTCAGTGCTTCATCCTCCTTAACCACTTTCAGAAGGGTACAAGTGAGAAACATTATCCGGAAAATCCAAAAGGGGAAAATCGGATGGTGATGTTTTGATGAACATTATTTAGGAATGTGGGCTCCGCTGTGATGAGAGTCTTTAATGATTTCTTTTTTCTTTTGAAAGGACTGGATTTAGATACATTTCCAATAGCATGTTTAGGACTCTCTACTGCCCTTCCTAATGAGAATCATGAAAACATTTGAGCATAAACAAAACATTACCTCATGCTGGCTGATTTATTCAGTACCATTAGGCGAGGAGGCGGGTGACACCATTGTATGCTATAGATTTAATTATCAGGATAATTATTTGGTTGCCTGGACTGGGCACAGCCATTTAAGAGAAGACAGGAGCCAGGGGTGTTCAGACTTGGTGCCCGTTTTGTGGAGACTGTCTGCACAAGTCGAGGGTCCTGCCTCCCTCCACGGAAAGGTGTGTCCTGACCTGTGCAGCTACTTCCTGACTAGCTTTCAAGAGGGTGTCACCCCCCTAGAGATGTGGGCAGTGATGCGTTACCCGTTTGGTGAGCTGAGTGTCCATCATGAAGTTGTGCACATGCTTCTCGGCTTTGGTGAGTTCCAGCTTCCGGGCCACCACGGCCACCACGAGGGCAGTGCAGCCTGCACCCTGTTGGGGGAGAGAAAGAGGGCAGGAGAGACGCGCGTCATTACGCGGCCAGGTGCAGGACTCCATGTTCCCCGGGCGCTGTGGGGCTTCCCGGAGTGAGGGGGCACCCGAGCTCCCCAGCCACACACAACAGTCAGGGCCCTGGCTACCACGCCCGCGAGGGGGATGAGAACCCCCGTGGCTTAGCTACGAAGCTGACCTTGGGGAAACTGAGTCTTCAGAGAACCGACAGGATCTAAATGGAGCAGGAGAGCGGATGGGGCGGAGGCTGCAGGGAATTTAAAACAACAGACGATGATCACCAGGTCATCCGCCAGGCCGGTCAGGGCAGGGCAGGGGGAGGGCTCCCTACCCCCTCAGGCAGCCCCAACCCATTGCCAGCCCCAGCCCGCGGGCTGGGAGGAAAGAAGTCCAGCCCGACCTGGGGGGCTGGATGGGCACCTGGTGGCAGAGTTTGCCTGAACATATAACCTCGGAGGACGGCACCCCAGGGACACGGTCGGCGTGAAGGTGTACACTCGGTGACAGTGCTCACTCCTCAGTCGTGTTTTTACCAGACGTCTAGGCTGTGACTCAGCACAGGCAATCGACTCTTTTTTGCCTTCACCAGGAGGCTTAAGTGTCCACCATCATGCAGAGACTCTAAAGACAACAACAGCACTTCTGCCTCAAACTGTGATGGAGGGAACGCAGGGGAGAGTAGCTCAGTGTTCTGCAGGGGCAGCTCCACTCCCTGGGACACAGGTGCCCGAGAACAAGCAGGCTGGGGGGGGGGGGCGCTCATTTCTCTGCCCTGTTCTGCCATCACTGGCTAGCCTGTCTAGGAAATGAGGGGTGGGGTGGGGAGTTGGGGAGGGTGGCTGACTGGAGCAAACACCTCATGATGTGCGAATCCTCTTCACTGCGCTTCTCCACTGGGCTGTGAGGGCCAGGGGACTTGAGCAATCTCCTCCCCAGCACTTCTCCAAGGGCAGTCGCCTGCCTGCACTTGCCTGCTTTCCCTCTGTCTGCACACGGGGCCTCCATTGCAGAAGAGATGGAAGCCGAGCAGCGCCAGCAGTCTGACCCTCTAGGTCAGGTAGAATAGTAATGATAGATGCTAGAGAACCCAGCTGAACAGTCAGAGGCCCCTGGATTGAAGGAATCAATCAACAATGTTCTGGGCTCATCACAGCTGACCATTTTTGTGTGTGTTAAAAACAGAAAAGAGTATTTTTTCAAAGCTGCCCCAGTTGGTAGGTCAGTCTCCTGCTATCTCCTGGATAATCTCCCTTTCCCTCCCCAAGGCTGACAAAGGCCGGCCGGTAAGGGTTTGCCTGGCAGAACTGGCAACACTTTCCCATAAGGGTTCCCACGAAAACCACCTCACACTTGTGGTACATCTGGCCACTCGGGGTATATCTGGTCACTCAGGGTATATCTGGTCACTCAGTCAGCCTCTCATTTCTAGCACGAGAAAGTGAAACGAGCTAAGCTGTTGTGAACTTTCCCATTCTACCCTCACCTTCCTCTCTTTTAGCAGGGGGTCATGTCTTTGTGACATCTGTGACTTGCTCCTGCAGGACACTGAGCCCAAATTTAAAGGCTATGAACAGGCAGCCAGGCAGCCTGTCTGCAGCTGTAATCAAGTTGGCCAGGTCTCCATTAGCAGAAACATAGCTTAAAAGAAGGCATTCAAAAGGGCGGAGGCTTGCTCCACTTCCCCTCAAGCAGACTGAGTATAAACCTCTCCTTTGCACGGAGTTCCAAAGTACCTTGGGCCGCCAACCCCAAAGAGGAGATGACAGTGGGATGTCAGCTAGAGAGGGCTTTCCAAGGCTCCATTGCCTCTTTCCTCCATGGGTCCTGGGAAGCGCTACTGGGGCAGAACCAGCCTGAGAGGGCACCTCCCCGCTCACCATGCCACTTTGGGAGTTTAAGCAAAACCATCAACCATCCGCCATCCTGATTTTCTGGGGTCTCAATGGAGCACTCTATGGCTTCTGCCCTTCGAATGCAGAGGGTTCTAACCAGAATAGTGTTTTAATAGAGGAACATATATCTTAGGCAGTCAAGATAAATTTCTTCATGGAGGCAGGAAGGTGGACTAGACGAGGCTTCCCAGTTTCTCTCCACTTAAAGATGTCTAGCTCCCTGTAAAATGTGTCTGGAGGTTGCTGTGTCTGTTAAGCCCTAATTATGAATTGAGTAGATGGCAGTGCGTGCTCTCATCTTTGCTTCTTTTAGAATCCACTATCTGGATGTAATGAGGGAAGTCACCGATAGTGAAAGCTAACTTGGCCCTTTCCATTAAGAGGCTGCCATATGACGAGGGGACTGACATCAGCAACCAGAAGAAAGTGGCAGGCAGGAGGCTGAAATTCTGACTTCTTTCTGGTCCTCTCCAGAGTATGTCTGTTTGGGAAGAGGGGAGGAGGAAGGATGATAGGAGAGAAGGAAAAGGAGTGGAAAGAGGGAGGAAGACTGGGGAGGAGGAAAGAGGAAGAGAGGAGGGAGTGCAGAGAGAGCCATCTGGAGCAGATGTGAAGATAAAAGAAGTCATGTGGCCTCCTAAACAGCATGAAACAGGACAGGGGAAGAGGAAAGAAGGAAACAGAAGAATAAGAAAGGGGGAAGGGTAGATGGAGCTAGGAGAGGAAGGAAGGCAGTGAATCAGACGTTAATGGCAAACTGTGGTTCTTTAGGGAAAATTAAAGGAAGTATTCTGGGCTAGCTCTTTCCCCTTGTGTTCGCCTCTAAGTGGTGGAATTACCACCTCTGTTCTTTTTAGAAAGATGCTGAGTCTTTGCCTTGAGATGACCTTATCTATGTGACGGGCTCAAGTTAGCAGCCTGGAAAGCTTGCGTGATGTGAGTTGGTTTTAAGAGACAATTGCCAAGGACTCGGTTGGTCTGGGTATGTGAAAGCGCATAGCGTCCTAGCATGGAATGTCAGAAATGGCCGGTGGGGGCGAGTGAAGAGATGAAGGACCGGGACAGAGAAGGGTTAGCAGCTGTCTGTACGACTTCCATGGGGTCAGATTCGAGAGCAAATCGTGACTCGGATTTTGCCTTTAGATGTGCCAAGTCCTCTATCACAGTGGCCACCAGTTGAATCTCGTGGGTCTTCTCTGTCCAAAGCCTATTTCCCTGGGAGGACAGTGGGAGGAGAAAGGGGCCTCTCCAGTGAGGTCATACTTTCCACAGGACGCGGTAAGCGGAGCCCAGCAGTGCATAGAGAGGGGTGGCCGGGATGAAGCGCCTACCTCCTCCACCACGCTGGACCCACGTCTCCTCCACACGGATCCTCCCACATTTGTTTCTAAGAACTATTTTCCAGCTGGAAAACCTTAGAAGCTGGAAAAACAAGTATCCCAAGGGGAAAAGTATGAGGTGTTCTTAACTAAAGAAGGATAAAATAAAACATAAATGAAAGTGACAAATGGAGGAGGGAAGCCTGGAGGATTTACAGTTGGATTCTGTTTCTGCAACAGATTCTATGTAACAACTAAAATAACATCAATTGGTTTCAAACCAAGGTGTTTCAGAGAGAAGCTCATCTTCTAAAACTGACATTAAGCAGATGTCTCGCTGCGCCCTCTTTTCCCCTCCACCCAAAATGACTCAATTTGTGCTACCTTTTACTTCATCATCACTTTCCTTTTGCAGTTCAAAGAAGCATCTCGCATGGAGCCTCAGGGAAAAGCTCAGGGTTCCCAACAGACAACCTGGGAGGTTCTATTTGTCACTAACTCCTGAAGGGCCCACAGAGTGAGTCCAGCTTTAGAAAATGGCTATATGAAATGGGGTTCCTGCCAAGCCAAGGTGGTGCCCAATGTCTTTCAGATGCCTGCAGAAGCAAAAAGAAGGCAGCCAAGGCACAGCCAACGTCTCCTTGTCATCTCGGCTTCTGGCCACTAACTAGCGACAGCTCTCTCTCTGCCTTCTAACTGCACACGTCTTTAATGGAAAGATGCTGGACTCTGATATATCTGCTTTGGTGGGTGAAATCTCTCAAACACACCAGGTCTGTGCCAACAATGTCAAGTTGTTCAGACAATTATATACCCTGCTTAATGGTTGATAATTACACTGTTACTGGGATTGCTGAGAGAAAACAATGATTAAGACTATTTACAGCCGCACACACAAATCCTTCCTTTCCCTTCCTGAGCAGGCCTTGCCTTGGACTGCATGGTGTCCATGGTAACCAAACAGGAAGCCCTACCTTGAGTAAAGGCACTTGCAATAATAATCTGGAGATGTGCACAGCCTTTGGAGGCAGGGGGAGGGGAGGGAAGCAGTCTCAGCAACGCAAATACTGAGGAAGGAGTGACTCAGCTAGAAAAGTCACATTTGTTAGTAAAATGCCACTGGGGTTCCTCACTGTGGTTGACCCCAGAGTGAGGCAACTGACTTTAATTTGACTAAAAACACTGACAATGAAGAGAGGGGAACCTCCCTGTTCCTGTCTATAGAGAAGTATGCACTTTATGCAGCAGGGTTTTGTGCAAAAGGAGATGAAAGGCATGTGCCTTATCTTTAATATGAAAGCGGTGAAAGGGTCCTCCTTATCTCTTTGTTCTTTCTGCTTTGATCACACCTCTCTCCACAAGGAGCAAAACACTCCATCCCAAGAAGCTGCTATAGACTCAGGAGCAAAAGACAGTGCAGGAAATCATAGCCCAAGGAGAAGGCAGGGCCAGCCCTGGGGTCCTGCCTGCCCCCCTTCAGAGAAGGCAGGTGGGGGGAGCTGTGAGGGGACCAGGGAGGTAGCCATGGGCAGCTTCTTGGATGGGCACAGCTCCATGCTGAGAGGAAGAATGGCTGGTATTTAAAAATAACAGAGGCTCCCAGCAGGACCCATCCACCTATTGGCAGACTGGAGCAGGGCCAGCCTGCCAGTGAAGCCTGCTCCCAGGCACGAAGCCCACCCCCAAGAGCCCCTAGGAGCGGCTGGAAGACAGGAAGGCTTTGGTCTTTGGGCAGCGGTACCATTCCTTTCTGGAAGGAAGAATCATCGTTCCCTGGTTTCCTGGTGACAGTTGGAGTGGCGCCAGACAGACTCCTACTAACCATTGGGAGTGTTTGTTCTAAGGCCTTACACTTATCCGTGATTTATCCCCAGCCCGGTGCTAAGCCCAAGCCATTAACTGCTAGTTCAGACCTGGCCTGCTAACATGCCCTGGATTTTAGTTGAATAGGGTAAGAACGGTGCCTGGCCCTGACACAGCAGCTCCGGACCCCTCCTGCTCACTGGCCTCCGCCCAGGCGCTGGCTGGTCTGAGTCTGGCTGCCGTGGCACTGAGGTCAGTCCCAGGAGGCCAGCAGGTGGCGGCGGCTGGGAGGGAGGCAGTCCCCTGCTGCTGAGGAGTTAATGACCTTTCCTCTGCAGATGGTGCTCTCTTTTTCCCTTCCCTGGAGAAACAGGGGTACGTGTGACATCTTTGGGCACACAGAAAGGGAGAATTTTCATGGAAGCATAACAGGGGTGTCAAAAGGGCTCCCCTGGGAGCGCTGTAGTGCCCCACCATGGAGACCCGCAACCGTTCTGTCCAGCTACTCACACCCCAACTTGCCGCCTGGGTATTTCAGGGGTGAGATTCAGTACCCTCTCTGGAAACTGACAGGTGAAGACGCACTGAGGTCAGGGAAGAGATCTCTGCCCACACGATCCTCACCACCAACCAGTGAGGAGGGCAGAGAAGCATCCACTCCCAATTGTCCGGAGGAGGCTGAGGTCCACAGGCCAAATACACAGAGAAAGTAGGATGGCGGAGGGAACTTGGCCTCCACAGCCCTCCCAGGCACTGAGCAGAGTTGGGCAAGAGTGGGCCAATGTAGGTGGCCTGGCTAACAGATGGGAGAAATATACCTTAAAGAGATGCAGGGTGGCCGGGCACCCAGTGGGGGGTGGGGGTGGGAGGGGCTGGCTTAGCCCGGCAAGCTGGGAAGCCCAGAACCTCAGCAAGCAGGTGTGAAAGCTGAAGTCTGAAGAAGTCGGAGCTGGCCCAGCCATGTCGTCAAACAGGACCCAAACCGGTGGCCAAGCCATCCCAGGCCACGGTCTCGAGGCCGCTTCAGTGTTCTTCCCAGGCCCTGCCTCCAGGAGTTCTGGCTAAACTGTTCTGGATGTGGGGCCCAGGGCCCGGGGCCTCTGTGCAGGGACAGCACACAGGCTGTCAACCCGCAGCTGGCCCCACTCCTGACGAGGAAGGCCCCTCCGGGCTCACTACCGGGGTCTCTACTCCTTGCGCGGAGGGGGCAGGGCGACAGGCAGGGGCAGGTACTCACCATGATGCCCGTGAGGAGACAGACACCTTTCCCACAGTACGTGTGAGGCACCATGTCTCCATAACCAATGGAAAGGAATGTGATGGAGATGAGCCACATGGCACCCAGAAAGTTACTAGTTACATCCTGCTGGTCATGGTACCTGCCAAGGGGAAGACAGGAGTTAGTTGAGGCATCTCTGTGGCTGCGGTGCAGGCTTCAGGCAAACCTGGAGGGGAAGGAAACGCCATCTGCTCAGGCAGACACAGCCTGGTGGCACTCAGATCCCAGTTGCTGAGACCCTGTGCACCCAGTTACCGCTTGCGGCTCCACAGCACCCCTTCGCCCCCTCCATCAGCTGGGTCCCAGAGGTAAATGTTTTGTCATGATTTATGCCATACTGGAGCCATCCTTTTGGTGTTGGTAAAATAGCTTTGGATGAAATCATGCAGTAATAAAATTTAGATTTCCCCTTCCAAGTCGACAGTCACAATGTATATGGATGTGATTAATCTGAAATCACAAGCTCACAAACAGGGAAAATGTCAGAAAAAATCACCAAGCACATTTAGCAATTTCCTGGAAGAAGGTTCATGGATCCCAAAGACTGGCACCTTCCCCGAGTGGGTGGGGGCTGGAGGGCTGCAGAAGCTAGGGCCGGAGGGAGCCGTTTCTAAGGGAGGCGAGGGTCTCAGCCTCCTTTCCCGAGCTGGGCGGAGGCCCGTGGCTCTCTCACCCTGAGAAGAGCCAGTCGGAGACATATCGCCACCATTCCCTCTGCCCAAGGCCCATCCCACCCCACCCTCTTCTTCCCTTCATCCCCCATCACGAAGCCCTTGTGTGCAGGGCTCCGTGCCAGGCTGAAACACGAAACAGGAGGACTCAGCCCCTGACCTCATGTGGCCTCTCTACTGCTTGGGGCCTCTGCACCTGCGTGTGTGGCCTCTCTGTGCGCCCCGGTGTTAGTAGGATTTGGATAAGACGCTCCTGCGTCACTGCCTTTAGACAATGGTCCATATCACTAGGCGGCTGGGGACGCCTAGGTAGCCTTTGACTGACTTGTGGCCATGGTCTGAGGTGGCTTGGGAGTAGCTCAGAAATGACACCAAGAACCCGCACAGAAAGTTCTCCCTGTATACAGGGCTGACATGTCCTCTCCTGTTCCCCCTAAAAATTGATTACCCTTTGTCTCCCCTGGAACCTGCTCCCATAAAGTTGATTCTTTTGTCTCCCTGGACCCTGTTCCTCCTGCCATTGTCACTTCATCCATCATGCTTGTTCATTACTGCTAATAAAAAGCAAGAAATCTGTACTGGGCAGCAGAGTCTTGCCTTGTAAACCTGCTCCACGACTTGTCCCTCAGACATGTCCCTGGGAGTGCGCTGGTGTGCTCCTGGCCACCAGAATCTCAGGGCTCTCAGCTCAGGGGAGAAGGTGTGCAAGATGCAGACATTTGCAGAAGGGCTGCAAGCAGGTGGGCAAAGGGCTGCAAGCAGGTAGGCAAAGAGCTATGGAGACAGGAGGGGCAGGCAATGACCTTGACTCAAAAGTAGATGGTTAGTCAGAGGTGTGAGCTTCCCAGGCAGGCCTGGGGCAAGGGTGTTCCATGCAGCACGAGGCCCAGAGTTGGACTCCAGAGAGGGAAACAAAGGGGAGGAGGGGTCCCAAAGACTGGCACCTTCCTGGAGTGGGTGGGGGCTGGAGGGCTGCAGTGGGTTGAGGGGGAAGGTGAATGTTGCCTCAAGATTCTCTCTAATGAGCTCGGCCCAAATGATGTAAAAGGGCCTCTGCAGTTTATCCTGCAGGGATGTTACTCCTCAAGCTTCTTGGAGGCCACTGGGTAGGAATAGGAAAGGTGAGGCTGAGCGGGGACACCAAACCCCCTGGGCTGCAGGGAGCATAAAGCCATTTCAGAATCTTTTATTATTATTATTATTTTAAATATAACTGGGGTACAGGCCAGAAGTGCAGGTGCAGCAAGAGGATTCACCAGAGACAGAGTGGGGAGCAGAACAGGCAGAAGGACAAACTGCTGAGGGAAGCAGCGGGGGGTCAGGAGAGGGCTGCCGAGCCATGTGGGTCAGCTCTGGGGCAGGGATCGAACTGGCACTGAAGCGGCTGCAGCCAGCCTCCAGTGCTGCGCCCCAACCTGCTGCACCCCAACCTGCTGTGCCACCAGGGAGGACCCCATTTCGGAATCTTAATTCCCAGAGTTGCATTACCAGTGGGATTTATAGAATTAGAACAAGTGACCTGCTTGAGACTGGATGTGGCACCTGGACCCCACAGACAGCACTAGCTGCTATCTTCAGTGCCCTCCATGCCCCCACAGGGTCTGGGCAAGTGGCACATGTTACCTTCCGTCCCCTTCAATGTGCATGGAAAGCTGCAAGTCCAGGTGCCCTGGGGTTAGGCCCAGCAGGAGGCAGCTGTTCTGCTACCAGGATGGAGATGGAGGCACGGAGTCAAGGAACACGAGAGCATATTTTACTGCAGGGCCGGTGGAGAACTACAGAGCCCCGCCACACGTGGCTGTTTCTGGTCCAAACACTCTGATTCTCACAATGTCCTATCAGCATTTTACAGGCAAGCGACTGGAAGCACAGAGACATTAAGTGACTTGCCTGAGGACACACAGGAGAAGGTGGAAGCAGAGTCCATGCTCCCTCTGCCACTCCCTCAGGCATCAGAGAGGTGGGTGAGCATCGTGCCCCTCAGGGGTTGGGAAGCAGTTGTACTGAGAGGAGTGTACCTGGACTCTAACAGCACATGACTTAGCTTCAGAGACCAGGAAGCCTGACACTGGAAGGCTTTGGATTCCAGGATAAGAGGTTTGGATTTGGTTCCAAAGGTCATGGAATGTTCTTGAATGGAGGAACGACAAGATGCACAGCCTGCTTGGAACAGAGGTCTGCAGGTGGTTGGCAAGATATTTCAGAAGATGGAATGAATGGAAGTGGGCTGGAAGGTAGGTGCAGAGTATAGAATCAGGAGGGAGGTACAGGCAGCAGCCCTGGTCATCTACCTGAGCCTGGCCCAGAAAGCACATCGCTGGTGCCTGTCCAGCCCCACTTGAGTCCCCGAACTGCAATAGTGTTTTCATAGCTATCTGCACCCCAGGGGAGCAGGTAGCTCCTCCCCAAAACTCTGCTGGTGGAAGACCTGACCCTTCCTTCCCACGACCTCTGGCTCCCCAGTGGCACTGAGGGAGGGCATTGTGAAGGGCTGTTCCTTGCAGTCAGCCTTGCTGCTCGGGGGTAGCCTCTGTGTGCTGTCTAACTGTACACAGCACAAGCAGGCAGTGCCTGACTCTGACCCCCAGGGTGGGATGTGGCCTGCCCTGCCCCAGTGTCAGCCCCAGCCTACTCTGACATGCCCTTCCCATCCCATTCCCCCAGCCCTGGGCCCTACCAGGCCCTCAGGCCACCTCAGTCCCCAATTCCAAGTGCTGCTTTCCAGCTGGGAGGGTGGGCAAGACCCAGCTTCAGGCCTGTGCTGAGTAGCCAGCTCTCCCTGGAGGAGTGGGCTACAGACTTCTGCTGCAAGATTATGGGTGCAGTGTCTGCTGAGGAGAGGAAAAGCAATTGTAAGAATATCATTCTGTCACTTCAGTCACTTGGCTGATCCTTTCTGGGGGGGCTATGGAACATGCTGCGAAGACCTGGATAGGCCCTCAACTTGCCAGAGGCTTGGAGCATCGTCATGGAGATAAGACATGCGTGAGCCTCACCAGGCAGGAAGTGATGTGAGCCGGGCTGGTGATTCAGGACTGTGGGAGTGCAGAGCAGAGAGAATGTGTTTCCAAAGCCATTCACAATTTTAGAGTGGCTTACACTTGTCACAGATCCACGTACTAATCTCATGCTATTTTTTACATTAGAGAATTTTGGGGGGAATGTGGTTCCAAGATTTTCTTTAATGGCTAAAGAATTGGAAAAGGTGTGGGGTTTTTGAGGGTAATTTTTAATGTGTCATTAGGGTGTGGACTATGTTTTCTTAGTTCACTTTTTTAATATTAGGAAATAGTGACAGATCGGAGTGGTGGTATGATTGGGGGGAAAGGTGGATTACTTTTGTTCTTTCCTCAATCCCTCTATAATTAACAGTTCCAGTCCTTTGCTTTCATTTATTTTTTTTCCTAAAGATTTATTTATTTATGAATACAAGGGGTACAGGCCAGAGGGGTGGGGGTGAGAGGATTCATCAGAGACACAGTGGGGAGCAGAACAGGCAGATGTACTGAAATACACTGCTGAGGGAAGCAGTGGATGAGATAGGAGAGGTCTGCTGTGCCATGTAGGTCACCTCCATGGCCGGGAATTGAACTTGGTGTTGCAGAGGCTGGGGCTACCTTCACAGTGCTGCGCTTTCAACAGGGAGGGCCCTTGGTCCCTTGCTTTTAAAAATAAGCAGACAACCAGGAATCCCAGGCACCTGTGGAAAGTCTAACATTAAAGACACTGACTAAATCAGTCAATTAAACAAAGAAAAAAGAACTGTGGATCAAATATAGACCATTCACAGAAAAGAGCTCTTGAACAAAATGCTATATTTAACATTGTAAGAGAGAAAATAAGGCACTAGACCCATGAGACAAGAACGGCATGCTCTACCAAGAGTCTCCCTTGAAGGCAGAAAGGTAAATTGAGGAAATCTCCCAAAAGGCAGAAAAAGACAGAGAATGCAACAAGAGGAGAGGAAATTGGTGAGTTACTCTGCCGATTCACATAATAATAGTTTCAGAAAGAGAATTAGAAAAAATGGAGAAGAAAAGAAATAACCATTATAGTAATCACTAAAAAAACGTTTCCTTGGACTGAGAGAAATACAAGTCCCCACTGTTCCCAGCACAGTGGATGAAAGAAAAGAAATATTACTGGGAAGTTTCAGAACTCCGGGGAAGGGGGTGAAGGAGGAGAGGTAGGGGAAGAGGAGGGGAAGGAGAAAGAGGAGGAGGAAAAGAAAGCAGGGGAGGGAAGAGGAGGAGAAATGAGAGAAAGAGCAGGAGGGGGAGGGGAAGGAGGAGGAGGCCAGAAGGAAGAAGAGGGGGAGGGGGAGAGACAGAGGGCCGGGCAGGAAAAGAGGAGGAGGAGGGAGAGGAGGCTGCGAGGTGCCAAACACAAAGAATCAGAAGCAGATGAGCTTCGGACTGGCCCAGCAACA